GCCCCCACAATAATTATTAACAATTATGTTATATTTGCATTTGTTTTTTTGATTAGCTAAAAAGTTTACATGCCCCCCAAAGCTCATTTATTGTATTAGTATCAAAAGAAAGAAACTCTCAAAATATTCATTATCATTTGCCCTTTGTGCTCCAATGAGTTGATGATCATGGCCCCGTTTGGTGTAGCTGTTAAAACAATTTATAGATTATAGCTTAACAGATTATAGATTATGACTTTAATCAGAAGTTGTTAATCTGTTTGGTGTAGCTGTTGGATTATAAATTTAAGTTGCTGAGTAGTGTTTGTTAAATAAGCTGTGAAATAGCTTTTTCAATTAATTTTTATTTTTTGTTTGTCTACATTTCTTATAAAAAAAAATAATAATCTATAGTCCATTTGAGTCTTTTTCTATTTTTAAAAAAATAAAAAATAAAAAAATTTAAGAGTATAACCATAAATTAACATGTCCACAGCAGAAGCTGATAATCAGAAGTAAGGGGTGAGCAGCTTCTCAGAATCATCTTTTTTGAGTTAAAATAAGCTGTTAGAATCAGAAGCTGTATAGCGATCCCGGTTGTCCCTTTACTGTTCTGTTGTATTCCGGACTCGGTTCCATGGAGTTGGTAGTTGTATCTATCTTGTTGTCCTCCTTTAATTCCATTTGTTCGAGTTTTAGGATGTATTGGGCAGAGTTGTTACAGGTTGGTTAGGTATTGGTTTCAATTCTTTGTTGTCTAGTTTTTAGGAGGTCTGCTCGAGCGGGTCTTCTTGCGCTCGAGCGGAGATTGCACGCTCCCAGTATTTTGGTGCTCTGCAGAACTTCTGCAAGCATGTTTTTCACGCTCGAGCAGGTTTCTTTACGCTCGAGCGGTGCCACTCGAGCGAGTACTCTGGCGCTCGAGCGGACTGGTTTTCGCGCTCGAGCGGATGTACTTTATTCTTGTGTCTTGGCGCTCGAGCGGGCCTTCTTGCGCTCGAGCGTACCTAGTTTTTTGTTCTTGACGCTCGAGCGTTGTATTCTCCGCTCGAGCGGGAATGTCGTATATCAGTTGGCAGCTGGGCGTTTTAAATTCACTTTTTACACACTCTCTCTCTCTCTTACTTTTTAAAAAGACATTTTGAGAGCTCCTCTCTCTAGAAACTCCATTCTCTCTAGGGTTTGATCTAGTTAGAGTGTCTCTCTATCCTTCGGCCTTTGTAAAAGTTAGGTTGATCGTCGAGGGCTACACATTGATCCGAGAATATTGAGTTTTGGAGCACGTTGAGTTTCTTCATCTTCTTTCCTTGAGCTCCGAATTTGAGGTAGGGATTCCTACTCACTCTTATGGTCTTTGACCTAGATTTTTGGTTGTTTTAATAAAGTGTTGAAGTTGGGTTAATTTTGGGACTTAGGGTTTCAAAATGTTAAAAGAGGATTTGTTATTTTGAGTCTAAAATGTGTATTGTGGGTTCAAAATAATGATATCGTTGTCGGTTGTTGATATTTAGACCGTTGGGTTAATATTGGAAAATCGGGTGGAAAACCCTAATTTTGGGAAATTTGTGACTTTATGCAATTGAATTGGAAATAATGAAATTGGTTCATTATATGGTTGAATAGTGGAGCTAGATTTATTAATCGCTCACTTTTGAAAACATTAATATTTTATCTGTTGGAGCTTTTATTATCTGTTTAGAAATAATTGCTTGGGCTACCGGTAGAGGGTAGTTTTGATTGTTGTAGACAATGCATGATGATTAGGCAAACTAAAACTAATCAATTGGATATGTTATAGAGTATGACGGTTGATAGAATACATTAACGTTATGTATTGATTGATTGTGTATATGACCTTTGTGTATATACGTTGTGTGTGGGGGAGGAAATAGGGGATGTACTCCACGGTTTAGGGGAAGATAGGAGATGGACCTCTAAACCGGATGTTGTTTGGGAGGAGATAGGGGATGGACTCCACTGATACAGCTCATATGCTTGTCAAATAATGTGTTAATATAGCTCATATGCTTATCTTTGGAAGTGTTGATATAACTAATATGCATATCTGTTGAAATGTGGATACAGCTCGTATGCTTATCTGTTGAGATGTTGATACAACTAGTATGTTTATCTATTGTAAAATGGAAAACGTTTAATATGAGTCACTCTCTCATATAAGTGGTTGGCTAGGTTCTGAGTCGTTGATGTAAATTGCAAAATTGATAAGAAATGGAAACTGAATTGAAACATGAGCATAGTGGTCATGAAATGGAAATGGGTTATGAATTGATTTATGGAAATTGAACATTTATCAATTGCTAATGTCTTAGTTATTGCTCATGCTGTGTTTAGCATATCTCTACTAGGCGTTGGCTCACCCTTTATAGGACATTATTTTCAGGTACAGGTAGTATGCCACCTCCAAGGACATAGCTTGGATGATGATGAGAGTTGAAGACTCTTTTTTTTTGTTTATTTTGTTTGTATTACATGTATATCAAGCCAAGGTCTTATTTTGTATAAAGTTAGTACTCTTCTTTTGTGTAACCAGGTGTTGACTTGGAAAGTTGTAAGCCCATAAAGCATTTGCTTTTGTTGTTAACATGTAATACAGTTGTAAGAATTACTCTGATGAATAGAAATGGTTGGTTTCTTTTATATCAATGCATGTCTAAAGTGATGGATTTTATGTATTTTTTTAGGGCGTTACAAGCTGTTTCAAATAAGTTTAACCAAACAGTCCAAAATAACTTTTTCAAAACTAAAAGCCATAAGTTGGCTCTGAAAAGCTGAAACAAACACCCCCATATCATTTTTTCCATTCTTGTTGTATGACGGTAAGTGCAAAAACTAAAAAGGTAAGGTTTCCCTGCAATCCACCTAATAAATTAGAGTGTATTGTTAGGTTTGTGGGATTTATTATATGTCTTATTTTAATAATTTGAATATAATATATAAAGTTTGTCAAGTATTTTATACGTATAAAAAATTACGTTAATCAGATGTCAATAATCTCTTGATCAGAACATATTTTTGTTAATAATTTATTTTTAAAATCAAATTTGCCATTAACAAAAATGTGTTCCAATTAATATGATTTTTTACAAGTATAAAGTTCTCGACGAACTGTACACGTTAAACAGTTCAAATTATCGAAATAAGACCCGTGGTAAGCCCCATAAACCCAACAGTACATTCCAAATTTCAATCCATTATGTAGACTAGAGATTCTGGGTGTGTTTGGTTTGTTTTGAGCGAGTGATTTTCAAAAAAAAAAATGGAGAGTGAGTTTAGAAATTTTTTGATTTGTTTGGTTGTATATTTTGAAAGTAGTTTTAGAATTTGAGAGTTTGGGATGATTTGATGTTTTGTTATAATTGAGTAGATGTGTGTGAGAGAAAAAGTGATTGAAAAAGAAAGAAGTGAGAGAAAAAGTAATTGATTGATGTATATGAGAGATAAAGTGATTTTGAAAATTTTTTAAGAAAAATTACAAACCAAACAAAATTTTGAAATTTTTTTTCAAAAACAACTCTCACAAAAACAAACCGAACAAGCCCTCTGTCTATTCCAAAATAAAATGACATAAATAACTTAATTAAACTCTTTTTACGTTATTTTCTCCTCATGCTTTTTTATAAATAAAAAAAAAGAAATTCTATAAATTTATAATTTTAACATATCCTAAATAAATTTTGCAGAAATATTAAGATAATATAATAAAGGAAAATTTACACTATAAAAAAAAAAATTAAATTTTAATCTTTGTAACAAAATACTATCAAAAAAAAATCCTTTTAACAAAATAAATTATGAATTTTTAATTTTATCAATTTAAATTTTAATCTTTTGATTTGTTCTCAATCTAAATATTTGTTTATTTTTGTTAAGTAAAAATAATGAAAAAAAAAGTATTTTAGTTATTAAACTCAATAAAAAATAATATTTTAGATATTTTTCGTACATTTATATTGAGTATAATGATTAAAATGATTTAAATTGAAAATAAATTTAAAAAATTGCGATTTAAATTGACAAAATTAAAAGTTTATAGGCTTAAATCTTGATTTTTTTATTATAATTTTTTCTATAATAAATTATAGAATAATTCACAAAATAAAATAAAATAAAAACATTGTGATTAAACAAATTATGAAAGAATCTACATTCAAAATAAAACTAATCTATAAAAAGCCAGAATTCTATGTGTACATATATAAGGAGAGGCTTCTTTTTAGTCTATTTTGTAAATTAGAGGGTATTATTGAGCTTGTAGGACTTATTATAGGTTCCATTTTTATAATTTGAAGCGTCAATATATAGAGCTTGTCAAATATTTCATGCCTGCAAAAAATTAAATTGATCAAATATCTGTAACTCCTTAATCGGAACACATTTTTGTTAACAATTTATTTTTAAAATTATATTTATCATTGACAAAAATATGTTCCGATCAAGAAGTTACTGATATCCGATCAATATAATTTTTTGCAAGCATGAAATACTTGACGAGCTTTACACATTCAACTTTTTAAATTATCGAAATGGAACCCGTGATAAGCCCTATATACATATACTGTATATGTCTAAATTAAGCATAAAACTATTAATATAAATGGATAAATTATAAATACATTCCTGAAATTTGATTAAAATACAAATCGTTCCCCGTAATTCTGGAAATTATATTTCACCTCAGGAGGTTTCTAATTTCATAACAAATCACTTTTTTTTGTTAATAAATTATCAAATTAATTAATAGTTTTTAATGATATTATAAATATGTTTCAATTAATAATTTAAAAAATTTTATTATTATATAAGAGAATAATTATAAAAAAAATTTAATTAACTTTTTTAAATAAAAAAATTTAACAATAAGATATTTATAATTTTTTAAATTATAAAAAATAATTTATATTTTAACCTAATCGCAAGATATATTTATAATTTACTCTTAATAAATTAGATTTTTACAAAACGAAAAGACAGTAAAGAAGAGGAAAAAAATTGTCAAATTTCCGAGTCACCATCGCAAAGAGGTGAAAATCGAGTGACGGTTTATAAATGAGAACACGTAGAGACATTGACAAACACACCACCACCAACAACAACCACCTTCCTGTCGCCGGAAACCACCGTCACCGCCGCCGTCTTCCTCCGTTGGGGGCGGCGCTGAGGGTGGTGATTCGAATGGCGGGTCAGTCCCGGAAGTGGATGATCCTGGTAGCCACTATATGGATCCAAGCCTTCACTGGAACCAACTTCGATTTCTCGGCTTACTCGTCGGAGATGAAGGCGGTGTTGGGGATCTCTCAGGTTCAGCTCAACTACCTCGCCGTGGCCTCCGACCTCGGAAAGGTGTTTGGGTGGTCCTCAGGGCTCGCCTCCATGTGGTTGCCCTTGTGGGTCGTCTTGTTCATCGCCGCTTTCATGGGTCTCTTCGGATATGGACTTCAATGGCTTGTTATTCGGAACATCATTGCCTTGCCTTATTTCGTGGTTAGTTACTCTCTCTCTCTCTCTCTCTGTGTTTGCTGATTTTGTGCAATGATGATATTTCTGGAATGAAATGGGAAATGGGATTTGTGGGCAGGGTTTGGTTTGGGATTTTCGATGCTTAATTTTGGAGAATTTTCAACTTATTTTACATATATTTGATTTTATTTGAGTGTGCATGTGTATGTATGTGTATATATATATATATTTGATTTGAGTCTGTCGTTGAATGTGGGTGTTCTCTGTTTCTCTATTAAAAATGGATTTCATGATTGTTTTGATCCCGTTTCATGAATTAGATTTATGTTTGCTCTTCACTCTTCACGCCTCTTGCTCTGGTTTTCCTTCTTCTCCTTTTTTTTTTCCCCCCAATAATTTTGGACTTTTTTAAGTTCATGATCTTTAATAGTCAATCACAATTTTGATTTAGGGTGTTTGGCAACCCATACAAAATTTACTAATTTTTTTTGGATTTTTTTATCGTTTGTAAAAAAAATCCTTTTATCCGTCTGGTAGACGAATATGAAAAGTAAATTTAAAAAAAAAAATTCAAAAAGATTGAAAAAGCCAAAATAAGAAGGGAAAAAATTGTTTTTTTTTTTCTGTTTGAATATTTTTTATAATTTAAAAAAAAAATTAACTTTTGGAAACTGAATCTAGAAGATTAATTTTTTTAAAAAAAATAAAAATAGTCCAAAAAAAAATTTGTTATCAAATAAACAAACTCTAAACACCGAAAAAGCTAGAATGCCTTTACTCTTAAATTTATTCCTTATTAGGAGGACCATTATCTTGATTTGTGTAGGAATTAAATGCCTAGGACACAACTTGAGTTGAATTTTTGTTCACACGCTAGTTTAGTGTATTAATAAAGTAACTTTTTTGAATTCAAAATAATTAAATTTGTAATTTTAAGTAAGTTTAATACATTTTTAAAAAAAAATTAGATTCATAACGTTAAAACAATTACATTTCGTATTTATCAAAGTGTGAACAAATTTAAATTGGATATTACCTATTGTTATAGGGATTTTTATTGATAATTCCCATTTAGAAGTGTTTTAATCCAAAAAATTCATGAAGAAATTTATTAACCCATTTAGTCTCATGTATGTATAGTTTTATTCCATAAAATTCTTTTTCTTGATTTACACTCTTTTTTTAGACTCTTATGCTATTATATTTAATTTTGAAACCCTTACAAATATTTTTTAAACGGTTAGCAATTTTATGATGTAAATATTCATATTTTAACATTCACATTGGTAAGAATGTAAAATTGACCCGTAACCCGTGGGCGGTCCGAAGATCGCCCCCGGGCTAGGGCAAGCCCGGTCCGTTGACAATGTGAATATTCACATTGACATGTTAACATTAACATTGATAGGACTATAAAATTGGCCCGCGGCCCGGAGCGGGTTCGACCTGTTGACAATGTGAATATTCACATTGATCGGAGTGTAAAATTGGCCCGCGGCCTGTGAGCCACCCGAAGCCCTCCTGCGGCCTGGGGCAAGCTCGTTTGGGCCCGGGCCCGAACCCAGCCCGAGAACACGAGCTAGGACCTGGGCCATCACTTTGAAGCTCGGCCCACATAAGGCCCATTTAAGGCCCGACCCGCCAGAGGCCCGGTGTCTTTTTTGTGAAAAATAATAAAATTTTGAGAGAAAAAATTAAATAAAATGGCGAGGCTCACCCAAGCCCGACCCAAGCCCAAGTCTAGGCCCAAGCCCCTTGGCTTGACCTACCGGGGCACCCAAAGCCTGAATACCTTTGTGCCAGGGCTAGGGCCTAGGCCTAATTTTTTGGCCCGTGGGCCGGTCCGGCCCGGCCTGAATTTTGGCAAGCACCCACGAGGCTTTACATGGGTTGGCCCCGGCCTGGGCTGGGCCCAGCCCCTACACATTGATGATATAAACATTCACATTGACGGCGTGAACATTTACTTTGACAGTATGAACATTCACATTGACGATATAAACATTCACATTAGGGGTATTTTGGTAATTATGTCACCCATAAGATGTGAACATTCACATTAGGGGTATTTTGGTAATTATGTCACCCATAGGACTTATTGAAATAGAAGAAAATAATGTGGACTAAATGGAACATAAGTAGATGAAAAATGTATTTTGGTCTTCTTACCTCAAATAAGAACATTCACATTGATGATATGAACATTTACATTAACGGTGTGAACATTCACATTGACGATGTGAACATTCACATTAGGAGTATTTTGGTAATTATGTCACCCATGGGATGTGAACATTCACATTAGGGGTATTTTAGTAACTATGTCACCCATAGGACTTATTGAAACATAAGAAAACAATGTGGACTAAATGGAACATAACTAGATGAAAAGGGTATTTTGGTCTTCTTACCTCAAATAGGAACATTCACATTGACGGTGTGAACATTCACATTAACGGTGTGAACATTCACATTAGAGGTATTTTGATAATTATATCACCCATAAGACTTATTGAAACATAAGAAAATAATGTGGACTAAATGGAACATAAGTAGATGAAAAAGGTATTTTGGTCTTCTTACCTCTAATAGGACCTAATGGAACAGTCAAAAATAATATGGGTTAGATGAAATAAAACTATTAAAAAAAGGATTTATCAAAAAAGCTTCCATTGTTATATTATATTTTACATCTTTGTATGTGAATCTACCGCTTTGAATGGAATGATTTGGAAAGAATATAAAAAAATGCATTTAGGAGTAAAATTTTAGGACGTTTGGATTTGCTAGGTCTATTTTAAAATTAATTTTGGTAATTTAAATTTCTTTTTGACTTATTATGTAAAATATTTATATAAAAAATTAAGATAATTTGATATCGGTAGTTATATATTTGAATCATATTTATTTTAAATAAATTGACGATAAATATAATTTTAAGAATAACTATGTATTTTTTGTAATACAAATTTAATTCAAATATATAGCTACTTATCTTTGGTCATTTTAATTTGTTGCATAAATATTTTAGTCAACAGGTCTTAAAAAATGAACGATTCAAATTATCAAAACAGGACCTATAGTGGACTCCACGAATCCCTCAAGTTCTTTTATGTTAAAATGTGGACATAAGAAAAAGTTAATCATTTTTAAAAAAAAATCATATCAAATGATTAGATAAAGTAAAGAAGAAATGAGATGAAATAAATTGAATGTTTGGGAAGTAGGTTTTTTTTGTAGGTTTTTTTAGTTGTAGGATATTATTGGAGTATTTTTTTTTTTTGTGTTTGGAAAGATAGTTGGGTTGTTTTGTGATTGGATGTGATGCTTGTGAGAGAAAAAATGAAATAATTATAAGGTTTGATGTGATATTTTATTTAGATTTATTTTTTTTAATTTTGTAACTAATTTGTCTTTTAATAAAAAAAAAATCAAAAAACAAACTTCCCAAACAGCGCTAAAAAGAAATACAAACAAACTCATTTCTCTTGTTAACTATTATTTTAATATATCTCAAAAGATGAAGAGATTGAGAGAGAAAAAAATTAATTATTATTTTTTATAATATCAAAATTATCTTTTTAAATATAAAAAAAATTAAAGAAAATGGTACCTATAAAGAGTTATTTTGGTAATATAGTACAAAATAATTTATTTTCTTTTATTTAACTAAAAAAGATAAGATAAAAATTATTATCTTTTCTATTTATCCAAACAAAAAAAAGAGAAAAATAAAGTGCATTCTTTTCTCTTCTTTTATTTCCTCTCTTCTCTTATGTATCCTTTCTTTCTTTTCTGTGGGCTCCCAAACATAAAAACACTACTACACATCCACATTTTTTAGTAAATTCACCAAGAAAAATCAATCTATGATTCAAATTTACTCACATTGTACCAAGGTGATTTGGAAACTTAAGATTTTATCCAAAAAAATTCAAAAAATTGTTAAAAAAATTTTTAAGTCCAAAAGTTACATAAAAAAAAGTTAGATCCTTCATTTTTTTTTCTGTTGTTTATATTTTTTTTCGTACAAAATAAAAAAGTTATTTCCAAATACTTTTTATATTTTTATCTCATATTTTAACAAAAAAATTGCTAAAATAATCACTTTCTAAACAAATCTTATCTCTAACACACAATCTCATTCTCCAAAAAAAAAAATGTGAAAAAAATTTATGGTTATTGTATGGGGAAAACTCTTGAAAGTAACAATTTACGTGTCATTATAATATTTGTTCTTTATAAAAGCTCTTTCTAGATAATTCTAAAGAGTCGGGTCGTGAAAGAACATGGACAAAGGCTGGGAGTCTAACTGCATCTCACTCAATAAAAAAGTATTCACATGCTCACAAAATTGATTAATTATATTGATCATATATATTCTTTCTAAATGCATCTCACTCAATGTCAAATTTTAATTTATATCCTAACCCTTTGTTGTATGATATTTTTTTAAAAATAGTTTTTAAGTTCCCTACTCATTTTAAGGAAATTCTATAATACATACCTATTTGGGGTGTATATTATATGTTCTAATTATGACGTTTATGACTTTTGTGTATGATCTATTATGGTATTAATTATGATTTAATTTACTCATTGTAATGTTAGTTATGATTTATTGTGATATTGGTTATATGACATATTGTGATTATTATTTTAGTTACGATCTAAAAAATCGGTTATGACATATTTTTTTTTAATTATGACCAAAAATAATTTGATATGACATTTGTGATACACACCCTTTTGAGGACATGTATACTAGTAGGAAAATATGGATTGTGTACTATACATACCTTTTTCATTCTTTCTTAATCATAACTAACAATAAATAAAAAAGACATAATCAAATATCTTAAAATAGTGTCATAATCAAAGAAGAAAATTAATCATAACTGAAGAAAAATATAACATAATTAAAAGTGCATATGATATGAAATACCCTCAGTAAATTTCATGATCATAAAAGTTGTTGCAACAAGAAAGTCACCCTGTGGGGTCTTTTGGGAAGTGGGTTATAA